CTCTTTCACAATTTCCCTCAGAACTTCGGCACGTTGTAAGAGGTTGCCAACTGGACGTTTTGCACCCCCTGCCAAGAATTTGGGTCCATTGTGCCATAAGGAAGAATACGAAAGTAGTTGCCAAGAAATGCCTCGTGAGGGTAAATCTGCAGGATTAAGTGATCCAGGACAAAGTTTCAAGATTCCTTTAACGAAATATTTTGAATCTTGTTCACTCGATGGTGCACGAATGGTTTCCATGCTCACTCGTGTGGTATCCAGTGAAGTGCTGTCATCGAGTCCACCCAATAAAAAACTTCCACACTCAACTTGAGTGTCTTTGACAAAGACTCTACTAACTTCGCTAGTACAGTCGTTGCCACCAGCTTTAAACAAGGAATCGTTTGCTTTTTCACTGGTGCGACCTTTGTCTTTGAAGCAATTAATTTCACGTCGATGGTACCATTCTCATAGACTTTTTCTTACATAGACAACATCAACAATTGCATCTTCAGGTACATCACTGAATCCATGAACTTGTGTAGTAAAATATTTCGGTTGGGGTTGGATAGTAGCACCTAGGTACATGAACACCATTTAGAAACTCTGACAATAAAATGGTCCACTGTTCACGTAGATTGCCATAAAGTTCGCAATCCCATCCCAGTCTATCCAAGCACATGATTTGAAACAGAATTTGGAGCCTTATCGTAAAAGGAGACAAGAATCCAAGGGGATCGAAGAATTTAAATGACCATTTCAACAATGATCGCTTTTTGACAGGTAATGAATTGGCTTTCTCCATTATTTCAGTCAAATTGAACAAAAATGTTTTCTCCACCGAATCGTCCACCATTCCTAGTACCTTGACTTGAGTGGGTTCCGAGAGCAGTGACTCTTTTGCAATTGTTGACTTTGTAAAGGACTGATAATCTTAAGTAACACTTGACTTGTTACCAATCAACCTAAAATTCTTGCTACCTTCTAAAGCCTCGATAGACTACGTTACTGGAATTCGAGTTCCATTTTCGCAAGTTGAATCCACCCTTGGCCATGAAATGCTTTGTTCCCTTTTATATTTGTTCCCTAATACCTCAGAAAAAATATCTTTTCTTTCTCCAAGTTTTCACAACACATGTTGGTGTAGACGTTTCTTTGATGCTCTTTAACGTAATTGAGAAGTCCCTGGTCTATTTGCGCTGTGTAAAACCTTAAAAAATGAAATTAATTTATGATCGTAACAATTTCCTTAATAATTCAATGTTTAAATAATTGCTTAACACCAAACAGTCAAGTGAACAAATGATCGTTCAAAATGAATAAGTAGCGAAAACCAGAGATCTAATGAAAAATATGCAATGATTAGGTCGATTTTTCGTTACATGTAATCGCAAAAGTCTATTCATAAGGAAATAACAAAACGTCCGGGGTGAATTTTCATTTATTAATAATTGACTTTATGACAGAAGTAGGATATCCATTCCACGACATAAATATTTTCATTTCTTTATTTGGTTGTCAAATAAGTATTTCTTGCTGCAACTTTTGAGGCATGATTAAAAAGCGATCTAATCCAATCAGTTTATTTGTGAAACGTCATGGTTCAGAATTGACACCAGAAGCTTTATCTTCTGCACTTATATTCTTTTTTCAACGTTTTATTAAAACAGCTCTCAGAAGGTTACTCTCAGAACTTTTTGTTAAATTTAAATGCATATTCATCACAGTTATTAAACTACGTAATCGGCGATTCTCTTCCAAATGGCATTCTGAACAGATTTTTTCTTCTCATCGTATGGATTTTGAGTAGCTATCACAACTTTTAAAGGTGCTAAGACATTTTGCTAAAAAGATACAGCATTTCGACTTCACATAAAATTCAACATATTTGGACATTAAGAATGTTGGCATGAGGTAATAGATTCGTTACCAAGCTTCCTACACTGGAATCTTTACAGCTAGAATCTTTGCTATAAATAAGCAACACAAGCCAAGACTAAATGAAGGTAGCAACGTATATAACACCAAAATCAATCACCAGCCAGCAATTTTAAGTAGAATAATATGAAACACACTCCAAATAAAAAGTTCATGTTTAACTAAATAAGCAAATAAAAAAAAGAAGACCATTTTTTATTTTAACATATACATTGAATGAATTCGAAATATGAATGTTAAATTATAAAAAATTGTCTTAAAGCTCGTCCGAAGCATGATTGCCAATTGTCGTTATTTTTTGTCGTCGGCATAAATAATATGTACGAAATTAAGCATGCTGAAATTTCAGCACCGCATCATTATTTTAGGATTTTAGAATCACTTTCATGGCACGCTGTTCACCGACTTAAATTGTTTATTTAACATTTAAAAGTGAATGATTGTAAAAAAATTCCGGTACCAGTTAACTTTGAGGATATCGGAATACGTTTTATTGTTGAATACATTTCCGTTTTTCTCCTGCACGAAAAAGAATAGAGGTTCACCAACTTTAATTCGACATTCGACATTGAAACTGTTTTGTTTATCATTATAAACTGAATAAAAACGTTTCAATTTTTCGTCACATTCTACTTCTGTTTTTTACGCTTTCTTCCATTAGTACATTTTTTAAATTTTATTTGTCTTCCTGCCTTTTACTCTCTTTTCACCTTGAGATTTTTTTCCTCTAATGACCTTTAATGATAAATGATTACATGATGTCATATCAATGAGTTCGTTCATTGAACGGAATATGGCATTGTACACAACTAGAAGGCTGCCTTGTAAACACAAACTAAGATATTTGTTTTTGATAAGCTACTTTTTACATCCAGACACGCAGCTCAGCTAACATTCACAACAAATTCAGTTCGCCCACGTTAAACTGTTAACCGTTGAACCAGTTGAGCGCGAATGGAAATAATTGTATACAATGCTTTATAATTTCCAACAGTCAATGAAATTGTTACTTTTTGAATACTTAATTGACGCGACCTACGCTCTAACGTAAATGTTTGTAAAAATCATTATTCATGCCTTAAGAAATGTAGTCTTTTTACATTAACTGAGCAGCGAAATATTTACATAGCAAGACCGAAATATTTACACATTGAAACAAACGCCACATAAAGAGAGTACATAAACAAAAATTCTTTTACACACAAACAACACACACAATCATCTTACTTTGGTGGTCGCATTCCAACGCATCCTTCCGCGTTTCCGAATTCCATGGAAAAAATCTGTCTAAACTAGGTGTAACAAATTATCGTTGAGCAACCTTTGCATTTAGACTACGTTAACACTGCTCCTGATTGGTCTGAAAACGGCGCAAAAAAGCAACAGAATCGGGTTACTTTTAAATTACGCCGGAGTGGAATTGTTCGAAAACGTCACTTTTCTAGTTCGTGAGAATCAACCGCTGTCATGCAGCGACTGCGATAGTGTGGTTCGGTGAATTTGTCTTCTCCATTCGGTTTGGATTTAGTAAAATTTACACTAACGTCGATGAACGATTATTCGCCGTTATTTGCTTCAACTTATTTTGTCAGCTTATTTAGAATTAGTTTACTTTTACCAAGAAGAGATTTTGACTTATCATATTTTTCATTCTTCTTCGGTTTTAATTCAATCCTCTTTAACTTGTTATTAAAAGCAGATTCATCTGCGTAGCAATGGTCAACATTCTCCTCTTTAACAGGTGGGTTCAATTTACCTTTGCCGGTTTGAACTGTCTACTGCTTTTTCCTTGGATTAGTACTATCATCAGAATCGCATGACTTTTTTTTACGAGTATTTGTTCGACGGTAAATCATATGTTGCTTTAGCATGTCCTTACGATAAAATCGTTTCAAACAATTATCACACGGACAAACAGCAGCATCTTCTTCGTGTTTCCTTTCGTGACGGGATAAATCGTCCTTCAGTGCAAATGATTCACTGCAAACATGACAGGAGAATCTCTTTAAGATATGAACAGATTTCTGATGGCAAGTTAGACTTATCTTTGTCGTAAAAGACTTTGAGCATTCTTAGCAAAAAAATTCCATCTTAGTCGGTTCTTTCGTGTCACTCTACCGAACGTTTGTGATGCAATGAAGAGATGCAGACAATAACTGGCTTTTATGCGGCGAAGTTGTACAAAAGCGCATGAGTTAGATGTGAACACACAGCGCCTGTTCATGCACGTTCCCATTATGTTCAAAGCTAAGCAGCCAAATAAAACTGTGTTTTCAAAAGTTAACTATGCTCCATAGGATAGTTGACATTACCTTCCTTTTAACTGCAGTTAGCGCTAATTACTTCTTTATACAACCGACTTAACCACATGGTTAAATTTAACTACTTTTTAAAAGCAAAAAGTGTAGTTAAAAAGTAATTAAGAGCTTTATACAACCGAACCCTGATGATTAAGACGAGCACGTTATCCTTTACCACTTAAGCCTAAATTGAGATTTTATGCATAAAGGTAGTCAACGATTCTTTTCTGTCTTCAAGTTGTAAATAAAGCTCCAATATACAAAAGCAATTGTTCATGTTTTATTGTAATTTAATCTTTCATTTTGCTCTTTCTGATGATTTACTTTGATTTATTCTTGAATAATTAAAACCATTATTGCATATAAAACATCGATTAATCAATATTCGTTTCATTTCTCGACAATTCTCCCTGTGTCCTTTAGTTCCTACTCAGCTGTTCTATTTCTCCTTGCAGAGCACTATTGTCTTTATGTCGCTTGTTTCTTAAGCATTTAGTTTTCTTGTTGGGATAACATATGTCTTATATCTGTCTCAGCTTTGATTGTTAGTATCCATGGAACGTCTTCTCATGTTGTATTGCTACTTCGCTTCATTATTCTTATTTTGTTGTCTTGCTTCGTTGACTTTGAGTTATTTTTGTGCTGGGATTTATGTATCATTATATTATGTATCATTATATAGCTTCATATGATCTTTCTACAGTACATGAATCTATTATTCACCATCATCATCATCATTATCATTATTATATTTATTATTCGCCACCTATCATCATCATCATTATCATTATTATTATTATTATTAAAGATATATTATATGTAGCAATCAACTATAACGATACATATTTATACCAAAAGCTCTCACCAAATTTACACTTAAACAAACGATTTTTAAGTAAAAGATCATTGTGATTATATGATACTCAAAAATTTGGCATCTCACCAATTAATAAACCGTAAAACTGTGACAACTTACTACATGCATTACAAAATTGATTGCAAATCACTATAAAAAAAAGAAAAATCCAGTTAATTGGCGGAGATATTGCTTTTGTGCGCCCCATCATAGTTATTTGCACAAAAACACTCTTTGCACTTAAACCATTCTTTTTCAACGAGAGGTATCTTATCATTCGTATAAGTCAATACGAGGATCTGTAAGCTACGAATATTTTCCAAATTTTCGACTTCGTCTTCTTTGATAGTAGCGTCGTAAATATTCACTTCTTCACCATTTTCGTCCTTTATCAAGACGACACAATGACTCTTCTCGGCAGTGATATAAATCATAAGTCCTGCTTTATGCTGCGACGTTTTAAATTCATTAATAGCTGTATTTAGAAAATACTGTTTTCTGCAAACACCGAACTCTTTTTTGACGTAGGATGTTAAGAAGCGTTTTCTTTGTAGGGCAATAAGAACGTTTGTACATGACATCACCATCGTTTTTTTTAGTTTTGCTAGCACTTCCTTCATTGGCTGTTCCCAATCCTCATTTACTTTCTTCTTTAGCTTTTCCCAATCCTCATTTTCTTCCTTCATTAGCTCATTTAGTTCTTGCTCATTATTCAGCAACTCCAAAATTTTCATCACAAACTTGGTCCCCAACGAAATCTGACGCAATTTTTGAATCATCTGTACAGGACAGAAATAAATTTGCAAGGTAGTTAACAACAGTAGTAGGTTAGCCAACGCACATGGTGCAAATTTACAGAACAACGCTTTTCCATCGTTTTTCTGATTTCTCTTGAATTTGAGTCTGCTTTCTATAAAAATCAGTTGGGTACAATTGAATACATGAATAAGCACGTCCCTACTAGCTACGTCATAGCTACCAGGCACGTTCCAGCTACGCCCCTGTAGTTTTTACTCAAATTGAGCTTTTTTTGCCTCCTTGTTCACTTAAATGGTAAATTATCTCCTGAATTTATAGCATGCAGATTTTAATTGGCAAAGTATAAAATACAACAGAGGACAAATGGCATATGACAAATGCACAATTTTTTAACTTAAAACGTTGTTTCTTAAATGTATTTCCTCTCTTATGATGTTTCTTATAGAGTATAGGATATTATCATGTGATTCATGACTTATACTAAGAAAAGTATTCTGAAATAATATTGTCTATAAAATAATCGCAACAAATATACTCATACATTGTACAGTGATATACATGAACTATTCCATCAAAATGGTTGAGGAAGATTTGAAATTTTAGATAATATAGAAAAAGTCAGTTATTGTTTCGTCATTGAGCAAAAATGTGTCATCGTTCTCAATAGCTTGGCGTTAAGAGCCTTTTCAGTCAGCAAAATTCTTAATTAGAATTCAAAATGTCCTCACGAAATTGTATAAAAAAATGTTTACCCTTTTGATGATTTTTAAGGAATGTGCGAAAGTTTGTAAATCTTGATTGCTCTTTAAATGATTCAAATGGTTGCTATCGACATAACTCGAGTGTACACCGTTTATTTCAGGCTCCTCGGATGAAGATTCAGTAATCTCATTTGTTGGAACAGCAGGATCTTCCTCCATCTCATAGTATGTGTCACATGATCCATCGACCTACAATTAAACAAAATTCAATAAATAATATTGACAAAATTAAATTTTCAAAATTTTCCATGAAAGTATATATTGTAAAACTGAAAAACACTACAATACTTTGTCCATCTCCAATGAAGTCGGTTTGCTCTCGCATAATTCATTAACGATGTTAAGTTTATCATTGTCTTCATCAATTATTTTAATTAGTTTTTAGTATTTACTTTATGCATTGTACCAACAAACAAAAAATCTGAAAATAAGTTAGTAAAAATATTGCACCTAATTCAGACTCACATAAAAAATACCCTTTGCAATAGGTTCTAGTGGTTTGACATAGATTTTGTTTAGTCTAAGACATAAAAATGGTTATTTTAGAATCTTAAGCAACTACAATTAAGTTCAGATAGTGTTAGTACAATTCTTTCTTTCTATAATGCAAATAAGAACAGGAAACATAAAAAACACTGCTGAGGAGCAATATTCATATGTGCATGTTATAGTTCACAGGAAACAATCAATTTCAAAGTAGCTCGATACGCCAGAACATGAATATATGGATATATGCCCCTTTTTGAAACAAAATCTTTTCTACAGTTGTGTTAGTTGGTCTACAATTTTAGAACTAAAAAGAAATTATGGAAAATTTACAGTTTACTATACCAGAGAGATTGTCTCGTCAGAGATATCCTTGCAAAATTCTGTCTATAAAATAATAATTTCATAATTAACATAATTATGTAAATTAGTTCCGTTTGTGTCTGGTTGAGATTGTATTATTAAAAACAGCAGCTTTTTTTTGTGCTGATCATTTATTTAAGAAATTAAAAGATAATTTGAAGATACCTTACCGAATAGGCTGTTTTATATGAGGCATCTTTGCACTCTTTCGACGACACTGTCTAGAAAACGAAATCATTCTAACATGTTATATTGTAAATATTATAATTTAGTTGCTATAACTTAAAAATTCTTATACAATTGTATTCTGCCCCAATAATGTGTAAAATACCGTATCGTCATTTGATTCATCGTTTTCGTGCCCAGGCTCTCCACTTACGCTGTCTTGCACACCTGACAGCTACAAATAACAAATGAAAACGATTGATAAAGTATACACTCGTATCCATACATTTGAATTTTAATTCGATGTTTAAAAGCTATAAAACTAAGGCTTTAGTGGTGAAATATAGTTCAAATATCCCGTACACGAAACACTCCTTTAAGCATTTGTCATGAGTCTGAGTATGAACAAAGCATTAACACTGAAATAGTGCAAATTTAAATTTTTTTTTATATTGAATTATATTATAATATATTACCATGTCATAAAAATAGTTTTGTTGTACATAATTTCCTAAATCTACACGGTAAATTTTTCACGGTACACCTCATGCACTTCTATTTTCGTTCAATCATCCACACTCTAAACCCATTCCAATTAAGATTTGATCTTCAAAAATTTCCCTAGACTATCACCGACTATTGTATTACAAATCAACTGACCTCATTGTCCTTGTCTGACGAAATATCATTTACAACTGACTTGTCAGTATGTTCCTCTGGCTGAAAAATTTATGAAGTCATTTGAAATAAGAACGCCATCCATAAGTCCGTGCCAAGAAAATAAAGATGACATAGCTACCGTAGAATCTTCATTTTGTTTATCACAGGCTTGAATTGCCAGTTGTCGTTGTTCATTCCTTGACAGCTACAAGAACCAAAATTTTGTACCATTATTTTCCAAGACATTCTATGCATTTTTGTGAAAGAATATTTTTACAATAGGTCACTCAAAAATCTCATGAAGTAAAGAAATAATCGCACAAGAATGAAAAACTTCCTTATATTTTAACGATATACAAACAGGAACGGGGATCTTGTGGACTGGTGAGCGTTGTAGTAGGGGGTCTCGCATGTAAAGAGGAGGGGCTTTTCTATAGAGAAAAAGAATAGGACGCCCAAGGGCTGGAAAAACTGGGTTATTGAGAAAAATGCCACTTTCAGATAATGCAATCTGAGCCTTTTGTATAAATATCCTTCTTATCCAATAAAGCATAACAACAAAAAATAAACTTGGGAAATTTTTCAGGAATATATACATGAACCTTATAAAATGTAAAACCCTGAGATATATATTCCACTTATCAAGTTTACGAAGATTATGAAACTTTGAATAATGCGCGATTAAAAGTTTTAGGAAAACTTAAAAATTCACCAACAATTAATTCTGTAGCCCTTTCGAAAGAAAAAGAAGTTCATATTTTTCATTGAACAATAAACAATTGCTTTCCTTCAGTTGGTTCTCAAATTCAGATTTTTCACGACATATTTGAGAAATTGCAAGTTACTATACCGGAGACATTGTCTTGTGAGAAACATTCTCAATCTCTTCTGATAATGTCTAAACAATTAATCCTCGAAACTTTATAATTCATAATTAACAAGCAAACAATAATATCCAAAATGTTTTTGCTCCATCATAGTAACATATAAACATACTTTGTTAGTCGGTCCATTGTGCTCATTGACAGAGATTTCTCCAACGTTGTCTTTTTGCGGCTGCAATAAACAAAAAACAACGCAATGACAAAACAAGCATTTGCACACTATAATGATATTCATACGAATGTTGGGTTTGAAAAATATATCTGACTGATGTTGAAGAACGACGAATTTTAGCCTTTGAAAATGGTATACAATTCAATTTTTTTAGCAAATAAAAGTAGTAGAGCTGATAAATCGACATGCCGAAATTTCACACTCAACTATTCGTGGATTAAAAATTCGAGATGAAAATGCTGTAAATACACCATATTCTTAATTTCATTTAATCATCAAATCCTATTTTACTTTTTGAACATCGACATTTTCATTGACTATGTTTGACTGTTACCCCTCTGACTTCATCTAACCTCATGAGCACTCGTCTCTTCTATTTCCATTAAATTTTCTAAGCCAACTAACGTATGGCACAAAACATATTTCTCTAGCTGTAGTAAACTGCTGTCCTGAACAGCGTTGATCTCGGGAATTTTAAGTGAAACAGTTTGGATTCTTTTTTGGAAATTTTATTTTGAGCAGTAATTTTTTTGATTTTTGTACATTTCAGTAGGAGAATTTAGGTTTAAGAATAGCTTTTTGTGAAAATTTTTCTACTTATAAACGATTGTGCCACACGTTATGAAAATAAACCACGCTGCCAAACCAGTTAACGTACAACTCAACTCGTACCTAGCTTATAGATACGACCAAAATTTTAATGTAAGAAGCACAATTTTTGTATAGATTGTAGTGACTCATTTTTCTTTTAAAGAGACTGGCAACAAAAGACTAGCATTTTTTAGGAGTTTTGAAATATTTTGGGACGTAGGATTTAATTAAATTACAGTTGTTGACACATAACAGCACGGCTCATGCAATGTTTAGCTTTCACCAATTAACGAACCTCATCAACTACGTTCTGCACATTGTCCTTTACAATGGGCTCATTTTCCTCAGCTATCGTGGACTGATGTCTGCTTTCTTATGAATTTTGATGGATGTTATGTGAAATTAGAACGCCATCCACAATTATTTTCAAAAATATATAGGCATACTTTTGTATCTGCATGTTGTTCTCCGATTTCTTGCACTGCTTGTGCTTTCAACGTTTCTTTCCCATGTTGTGACTACATACAATAAATAAATATTGAATGAAACAGTTTCATACGCAGCTGCTATGTGAAAGGAAATTTTAAGTTTGGCCATAAGAATTAAACTTTGTGAAAATAACAAATAACTGCACAAGAATAAAATTTTGCCAATGAACAACAATTTTGTGAGCTAGGGGATATGGAGCCTAGAAAAATCACTTCCTTTATCGGGTTTAAGGAAGAGCTTTTTGTAAAAATATTTTCGACCAATATGTGATTTTGCCAGACAATTATGAAGTTAAACTACACTATTACGGCCCAGTAGTCTTTACTTAAGTCGGGTTTTTTGTCTTCTTGTTCACTTAATTGATAAATTATCTCATTAATCTACAACATGCAGCTTCTAATTTGCAAAGTATACGATACGACAGAGGACAAATGACATATGACGGATGTACATGTTTTTAACCTAAAACGTTCTTTCTTAATCGGAGCAAAGCTTCTTGCAAAAAATGTTAACAAGTATTAAATCTTCAGAAGAAAGAGTAAAAACTTTTTAATGGCGTGAAAGTCAAAGTTTTTTCCGTAATAAATTAGGAAATTCTTGAATGATGCTGAGATAACATGTGAAAGTGGAGTACATGGGCAATGCAAAGAAGAAGTTTTCTTTCTTTCTCCTTCAAATCATTGCTAGGAAATACTATTCTTATGAGATGAATTAGAATTCTACATTTATGTTATAAAAAATGTCCTGATTATAACAATCTCGATAATTGATCGGTAAATTTTCCCCTGTGCAGCCCCTTCCCCTGCCAGAATAATTGTACTGCTACGGCTAAAATATTTCTATTTGCTTAAAACGTCTAAACCTATGTTATATTTGGAATATTGATATATTTCCTTAGCTATCACCATCTTTGATCTAACTGCTTTTAGCAATCAACTTGTCTCATAAAGACTGTCTCCTTCGACCTCATTTGTGTTCGGTAGATAGCTAAATTCCTGAGCTATCAACAATTCTTGTATTTCTGACTAAAAGGTATGATCAAAGAACGTCAAATGGAATATGAATACTCTCCATATCATCGTCTGAGAAAAGCATAAAACATACCTTTTTATCACTACTTAGTTTACTGTGATCGTGCTTTGCTGGTTCTAGCATCTCTTCTTTCGCAAAATCAACCTGTAATTGACGAATAATTGTTAACAATTTTTTTTACCAAAGTAACAAGAAATTTTTTCATGGGACGTCGTAAAGTATGTCTTTATCATCAGAAGCATGGTCTTCAGTTTAAGCCATCGCTTTTTTCAGAGGTTTTATTCAAGATATAGTACGCTTAAATTATTGTTATGGTATGAATACACACAGGATGATTAGTTTCCCACACCCCTTATTCACCTTTAAACTGTTTTTGGACACTTCATTTTCCAACTTTTTTGCATGAAAGAATTCTATCGTGGAGCATACAATCTGATAACATTGCTCATTATTTATCGTCTTTTCTTTTTCTACGTAGCGATTGAAAACGTTATAAATAGCTTCCAAAAAAGCGCAGATGTCCATTTCAGATTCACCCTGAATTAAATGAGACAATATTATCATTTCTGTTCCGTTAAGTATTATAACACGTTTCATTGCATGTGCGTTGACAAGTTTTATTTGCTCAGAACTATGTTTTATAGCTTGGTCTCTTACTAAGTGTTGAAAGGTTTGTTTAAATCTAAAGTTACAATTCAAATCTTACGTTTCATCTTGTTGTAGTAGTAAAATACATTACTCCTTTATATTTCAGTCAGCAAAAAGCTGTTCTCTGACTATGTGTAGAAAGATTTGTTTAAATCTATATCAGCAGTTACAATTCAAACCTTACTTTTCACATGAATCGTTAAAGTCTGAATCCTGGACATTAAGTTCGCTTCTTAACTTTACAAAATCGTCCCTGGCAGATGAAAAATGCCTTTCGGTCTTCGAAATACAAGTACACATTATGAAAAACAGTGAAAAAGAATTATATTTGCGCAGTAAACGTATTGGGTTCAAACAAGACCTATACACAACTATGAACTGTAAATTCATTTCATATTATACACGTACGTAATAAAATTTTTCGCTTATTCCAACTCAGAAGATGTTCAGTAATGCATTGTTCTTGTCCTTAATACGTACAACCATTGTGCACATTAGTTCGTGGACTTAATCGACCAAAAATCTACGTATATGCAGATCAGAAAATAATACACACCGGAGGTCGTCATATTTTTAGTAGACGAGCCAAGTCTTGACAAATACGAATTTATTTGCTCAACTCTTCGCCAACAGTTGCTGCCGCACCACTTTGCCATCTTCCGCTCCAAATAACCTAAAAAGTGTGAAAAGAATCATCCATTCAAGACAACCCTTTTCAGATTTACGTAACCACGGTTTAGTTACGTGAAATACAGTATTATTACTTCGTCTCATAACATCTTTAATAGAGCATTATCGTCGGCGTATGTGGTATTTAGCTTACGAGTTATTGGGTAAACAATCATAACCTAAGTATGTAACGTACCTGATATGACCAAATGTACGATTTCCATGCATTATAGACAGTGCTGGTGCAATATTTCTTAAAGCATTTTGATTTTCTTCCGATGTAACACGTAGAGCCCACGGCCAATATTTGCATATAATATCTTCCCACATATATTTAACTCTATGTGGCTGTAAAAATTCATATGCAAGTAGTGAGCATAGCCATAGGATTTCCTTTGATATAGTCGTGGCAAGGAACACAGGTTACGCGACATTCATCTGTCAGAATATCGACTTGTATTTGTTCGCAATTGGACAATTCCACCAAATTGCTGGCAGCCTTCACACCAGCATCGCTAACAGCTTCTATCTTGGTTTTTATGGGATTGTGGCTTGATCTTCTTCTAACATCACCATCCATGTTTAATGCCTGTAATCTGACTAAAATTTGGTTCATACCATCTTCAATTCTAGCAATAGGATTGTATGATACGTCATCAATCTCTTGCGATCCTTGTTCGTCAAAAAAATCTGATACCGTGGATTGTATTTTCCCTGCTGTGTTGCTATCCTTAGTTACCAATACATTTAAAAATATAACATTCGTATTCCAATATAAGAAGTACTGGTATGAGTGCTGTCATCCTCATTCGCATATACCTCATGACCAGAAAAAATGGACGTGATCGTGGACTTGCATTACGATGATAGATCTGTATTGACTGTATTAACAGTCTCTTCATTTGCAATCTGCTCTTCCCTTTGTTGAATCTTTTTTTGTTTTAACAATGCTTGAGCCTTCACGTGATTTATTGGCACAATGACTGACATATAATTTCCTTTCCCTCCACTTTGTTTTCTTGCCCAATGCCTTTGTTTGTACGACTTGGATCCTCTTGTCAACTCTTGTGAACAAAGCAAACATATGTGTGGATCACATTGATCCTTTTTCACCTTCTTGAAATGGATGGTGATGGTCGTTTTCGTCTAAATATGGCACTCCATTTTTCCTAAATGAAGATATTTAGTATTTCTTTAGAATAATCTTAGAATTCATTCTGAGCAATTTGAAAAATGATGAAAGGACAATGCTCACCTCAGCTGATTGTTGCGATTTTACATTGACAAGTTCGTTAGTCTCATCTTCCTCAATTTCAGAAGTCATTTTCAGAGCACGTTAAAAGCAGAAGAGGACCGAAATGTGGTTTTAAAAGCGTGAATGCCTCTTGCTTTTTATATAGTTATTTATTGATAACGTGATTACAAGTTGTCCGTTAGACAACCTAATCCCAAGTCCAAATGTGCTAAGTGCCAACCATGTGCTTATCATATCAAAATAAACCCATCAATAAAGTAAGTCTAACAGTAACTTAATACTACTTTCTACAGTGGGGACACCGACTTTATGAAATTGTAGCCAGTGTCGACGCCGGTCATGCAGGTCATGCAACAATGCATGACTAAAAGTTTTCCCAAAATGTTTAAAATTGAACGTAAAATTGTTTGAAAAATAATTTCACATTAAGTTTTAAACATCTATACGCATATACTTTTTATTTTTTAGGCAAAATAATATTAATCTAAGGCTTGTTTCCAAACGTCGAACTTTACATGCGCCGAACGCATTTCAGGCAATGAAAAATGAGACAAATTCATCATTATCTTTTGTTTTTAATGCATTCGGCACTTGTAAAGTTCGTCGTTTGAAACTGGCCTAACACCACATTCTAACAACGCATTCATATTTCATAGGGCGTGGATCTTATAATGATTACTATAAATACTGCTCTGTGAAATAATAAAATCACTTAAATCAGTTTGTTCATTTAAGTTCATTCATGTTATTCATGACGAATAACACGAACTCAACATGGGGACGCATGCTGACGCCTGATGCATTTGCTTTGCTATATTTTGAGGAAAAAAGAGGATTTTTCAAAGTATGCGCCAACCACGGTCCGCGAACGATAATTTAATTGACAGTTCTGTGCAGCCGTGGGCGAAATTTGAGATATTCACATCCAATTCAAACGAAAGTTATGCGTTGAGAAATGACATTTTTATAAAGAGTAACTTCCGATATTTTAATAGCAACAAAGGCTTACAAAGCAATATTCAGTCTCTTGCAATATCACACACTGTATCATCAATATTCCTTAAATTACTATTTTTCCTTTCAAAGATTTTGCGACGTACAACATGTTTGACACAACAAAACACTGAAAACAGCCTGTGTACAACGAGATTAGCGATACTTCGTATATTAATTTAATAATATTATGCTTGTCATATGCGCACCAGTGCACCATAAAATTTATTTTGCACACCAGCACACCAGTTATTTCATAGTGCGCACCGTAGATCTCGTCGAAAAACGACATACTTTTCAGCCTGGTTTCTATAGCACACACATCTTTGTGTATTTCTATTTCACGAAGTGCTTTGCTTGGCTTATGAATAATCCGTTCGCCACCTTCGCTTCTTTGAAGAACTATATCTCTACTGGCATTTTTCTTCTTAATAGTTTTATACCACGAACACCTTGATTTGTAATAGCATTAACATTGCTTATTGCAGACAGCAGCTGCTCATCAATCGTTGGTTTACTCGGCCTACTGTGTTTATGAGACATGTGTTTGCATAAATAAGAGGTGAAACCCCGATGTGTTTAATATTTCATACAAAATACTGATACAGCCATACAGGGTAATGTAGAATATCTTCGCTCCTATAACAAAACAAAATGGCGCGCGCTAAGTTTTTTAGTTTTTTAATTTAGGCAACTGGCAAAGGAACCACTCAAGTCACCAGGCCTGTTGTTTGAATGGACGTTTCTCAAATTGACTTATAGAGTCAATTTGAGGGTATTTTCACAATTAGCGCATAGAGTTAATTTAAGGAAGAGACTGGGTTGAGTATGTCGGTCGTATGTACTTGTATGTACTCGTATGTACTAGTATGTACTCTTGTGGCGTTTTAGTCACGATCATCTCCCACTAATTTATCACGACATTGAGTTTTGTTTGAGATCATACACACATTTTTTTGTCACGTATACAAGACCATTGCACATAATTTATTTGGAAGTTAAGTAATCTGGAGCAAAATGTAAGTGAATTTCAGTTAAGCTGCAATGTAGATTGAAATTATCCGTTTCTTTTCAATGTTAGCTGCAATGCCACGACATCTATATAATAGGTATATGAATGAGACATGCAAGACGTTCAGAAAATTTAACATACATTTTCTGCACGATTAGTATGAACAATTTAAAAAATGTTCATTCTTAACATAATATTTCTGAATTGATGCAAAGAATAATTTTAAGATGCATTTTAAGATGCAAACATTTTTGTGTTTTGCATGCTTCGGCACATGAGAATTTCACATAAAATATATGAACTTATATATCAATAAAATGGCATTAGCTACAAATAGACAATTAGGTCGAAAGCTAATCGCATATTGAACATTCCTAAGTCTACTATTAAATTCTAGAGGCAGTTTGATGTTGCTTATTGCTATATAACAGTAACTATAAACAAATACATCGAAATGCACATCTTTGTGAAGGTTTACTTTTCAGTGAACTTAACTGACTGGCATTAAACAGTTAAATCAATATTTGATTCCCAGTTTTGCGCAAACTTTAATAGCTGAAATAGCTCAGAAGATTGTAAATGCCTACTTTATAGCACTAAGTTAGAGACTATGAGAACAATTTTGTTTGATTTACAGGCACTCTTCTGGTACAATCTAGAAAATTATTACAATAGAATTTTCGATTGAGAAAACATACAAAAGAAACAAGTAAATTGCAAATTCTGAAATAAAGCAGTCCAGTTGCAACGTTAGACCACAACAACCACTAAAATTAACATCCTTAATACTTATACTTGACACTTACATCATGTTTGGTAGCTCACTGATAAAAGGATCATAATTATCAAAACTATGAATATGAACTTTAAGATGCATTCAAAGGGGAGTTTTTTGTGTTTCCTGTTTGGTAAGTTGAATAAGTTTTATTTGTACTCAAGATTTCGAAAGATGACAAACCCTTTAAACGAAAGAATAATTGAAAAGCTTGTGGTGAATATAATTGCAAACAATTTTATTAATTTTTACAACCAATGTAAAAATAAATATGTTGGAATTTGAATGAATTTTTCATATAGCTATTATTTTCATTGTCTCACTCACTATTATAAATTCATGAAGGAGTTATGTATATTCTGCACCTTAAACTAAATTTTCATTTTTAGTCTAACTGCGTTTAGGAAAACATTGTCGTTGATGATAACTTTCATGGTGCTTACCTAAAGGTATGAATTTGTACATACAAAGCGTAAATATAGCTTTCAAATAAAAGCATTTTAAAGAAGTGCTTGGGTATTAATTTACAATTGGTGTCAAAATTCTTGAAGAAAAACGCACATTTTCGCTGTTCTATAGTTGTTGTGGATTAAAAATAATGTCAGTTATCGAATATAATTTACTGATATTATTGCTTTGTTTGCTGTTGCTACATTTCTTTCACAATTATATGACCTTTGTATTTTTTTTCACCTTTTTCCCACAAAGCCGTATGTATATATATATATATATATATTTACATTTATTCATATTCTATAAGTAAAAATATGCAAGATATCTCTTACCCATCCTTCAACAACAGTAGTTAACTAATATATATATATATATCATCGCAGGCTCAAGTTTTTTTATTATAATATGTATTATGTCTAAAAATAGTCATAATACATCTTATAATAAAAACCGGGGATCGTTTTGAGGCAGTCAGCGGTAGTAAACATAAAAATAGAGAAGGGTGAGCCTGTGATAATATACATATATATTAAAGAAGTAATATAAAATATATAAACAAGAAAATATATAAAAAAGATATATTTCAAATATAATGTAATATAATATAATATAATATAATATAATATAATATAAAATAATTACATTGATGAAAGTCCAAAGTCCAATTTTTTTAAAATGATAATATGGAAAGTCCAAAGTCCAATTTATTGATGATACAAATTGTCACGCTTTAATGCTTCATCCACATTAAAGAAACGATAAAAGGAATCAATCTTTTCACCAAATTCATCATCCCAAAACCAGTTAACCCAATCTTCTATTTGTAAACAAAGACATGGATAAAAACTTGACCCAACTTGTATGTTACACATTCTAAATTTTGCCAAAACCGAATTTACTGATGGTATAAATTGTTTCCTTTCAATATATCATCGACAAGAAAGAATCGCAAATATGACTCAGTCTTTTCACCAACTTTATCGTCCCAAAACCAATTAATCCAATCTTCTATTTGTACACAAACGCATGTAAAAGAATTTGTAGAAGATGGTATGTCACACATTGTACACACACGTTGTAATGAGGGTTTCTTTTATTGCTTTGAGTTATTTCTTCAAAAACGACTTCAAACGATTGCAAACACCAACATATTTATATTCTTTTTGCCTTATCCATAAATAAAAAGAATAGGGAACATATTCAACTTCACCTCTATTTGATTTATATGGAAATTGAAAAAGTTCATCATCTCCTTCATAATAAAGTTGATTCTGTTGAATTCTTTCTTGTCGATTATTCAACCAATGAACAATATTTCCTCTCCAAAGAAATTCATTTGCATTGTGGCTGTAAATACATTTTCCATCAGGATATTTCTCAGAGTGTTTTTCAACATAGTTAATACAGTTCAGTGGCTTAGTATTTTCTCTTGTATTTCGTCTTGATGCATTTATCAGTTTCTTTGACATCATAAAAATAATACCATGAAAGCAAGCCTCAAATTGATTACTAGTAACCAATCATTGTAATGCTTCCTTTTATGGGTTTTTTATTTTTCTTTTTTTATAAGTACAAACATTTTTACCCAAATAATTTTATTTTCAATTAATAAAATCTTTTGTTTGTTTTTTTCTTACTTTATATCTTTTTCTACTTTTTCATACATTTCTTTTATATTAAACTCAAATTCTATTCTTAGATGATTTATAAATTCATCAATTTTCTCTGTAAGTCTTTCTTCAATTTTTTTTATTTCTCCATTTATTACTGGTATTATTTTGTTAAATTCAGAAAAAACTTTTGAATTTACAGAAGATTCAATTTCA